TGTGTCCGCCGAGAACTAAGAAAAAATAAATAAATGTTAAAATTCTCTCTCTCTCTGTCCCCCTCTCTCACTCTCTCTTTAAAAAAAAAAAAAAGTAAAGCTAGATGAAATATTGGCATCAGGGGATTTGCTACTGATACAGGAATCCTAAATTAGGTGTATGCCCATCTGGTCCAATGGCAGGGACAGGACATGATGGGTTTTTGAATCTGAGAAACAAAATTTTCATGTTTATCAAAAAGGTTCATGAATTTTAGAAAGTTAAGAAATACTGGTTTAGGAAGGAAGACAGGTTTTGGAATTAAAAGACTGGTATAAATCACAGCTGTGCTGGTTATCAGCTTTGTGTCTTTGGAGTTAGTATCACAGGACTGATGTGAGGATTAAATGAGAAAAAACATATAATTAGCACAGTGTCTGGCACAGAGCAGGTGTCAAGAATGGCTGCTGTGTGTTACAGCAACTGTAAAGCATGGATGGACACACAGGCAAATGGGCAGCTGGGAGTGTGTGTGACAGAAGGCCAGGCAGTCTCTAGTCAGGGCTGAAGCTGTTGCTGTTACATACAGGAGCTCTGGGCCCATGGGCAAAGACTCCAGCACCTGAGGCAGGCAATCTAGTCTTCTGCTCAACTCAAGCCACTCCTAATGAGATGACTTTGCTGGCTTCTGGCTAGAGAGAAGGGGAGCCCCTGGGGGCCAAGGCTGGTGTCACAGGGAGACGGGCAAGTTGAATGAGGAATACTATCTTTGACTGTATCCAGATGGAAACCTGGTATGCCCAGGAGGATCATTAAGGAGACACATTCACCCCTAGAATCCTCTCTGTTTATAAAACTCAGGGCAAAGCATGTTCTACTAGTATCTCTTGGATTATGGGCAGATGGGCAGGCAAGGTGGTGGGGAGGGCCCGTCCTGCTGTCTGTCTTCCAATGCACTGGGGGGCAAGCTGCAGGCAAATGTTTACCCACTTCCCCGATTAACGTACAATGCTGCATTGGCTTCTGTCAACAAACAGCTATGCTGCTTCTGCTTCTGACTCTTTGGCATTTTCTGCCCAGCTGCTTCTGCTATTGTTCTTAATTAACATGCCAGAGCTCTCTTTCGGCATCTTCTACTTTGTTATTTGTAGTTTGTAAATATGATGTTTGCTGGAAAAAGCCAAAAACCATAACAGTGCTAGAGCTGTGAGTATAGGCAGGAAAATGTGCTGGAAAGAAAAGAAGCTAGGAGGCTGGAGCATCAGGCCTGTGTTGCATCCTGCTGGGGGTTGTCAACATGCAAGGTTAGAGACTGATAAACTGCAATTGGTTTTCAAATGAAAAACAGTGTCCAAGAAAAGTTAAGTGATTTTCTTAAATGGGAAAGCTGAAATTTGGAAAGGAAGAAACAAGTTTCTTGAACATCTCAAGTATGTTATCTCATTTAGTCCATATGACCACCATGCAAGACTGTGGAGATGAGACAACTGAGGATCAAGGTGGTGCCACTTATTTAAGGTCATGTGGTTAGAAAGAAATCTATATGAGGTTAAAAGCAAACTTAGATTCAAATCCTAGCTCTGTCATTTACTATACCTATATGACCTTGAAGAAGTTATTCAACATGAGACCATTTGCCAACCTGTAAAATGGGAATTGTAATTGCTCCTTTTTAGGTTATAATGTTAAATGGAATAATGTTAGTGAAGACTCTGGTACAATACTGAGTCAGGAAGTGTTCAGTAGGTGATAGTCATTACTGGATGAGGTATTCCTTGAGTAGAGGCTCTGTTTTCTCCAACTACAAAGCTGGAACTTCATCCCCAAAGACTCTCAGAGCCAGGAACCAGGCTGCCTTTTTTGTTTCTACCCCACTGCCCAGCAGGAATGCTACCCTTTCCCTGACTGACTAATGTCTTGATCTCTGAGATTCCTTCTGTCGTTTCAGTGGGGCTATCCAATGGATTGCTTCCAAGTGAACATGGCTCTGCTGGGGCACTCCCTCTGGTGCCCCAGCTAAAGCAAATTTTTCCCCCTCTGAAGGTCATTTAGACAAAAATTTCAAAGTAAACAAGGGCGATTTCTGTTTCCACTCTCAGTTACCTGGCTTGAACAAAGTGACTGAGGTGAAACTAGGGGATGGAGCACACTATTCTTCTCCTGAACAAAATAGTGGCCAGAGTGTAAAACCATCTTGCAGTGCTCTGGGCTCCTTTCAAGAAGGCATGGAATATTCCAGGAAGAACCTCCTGGTAAGAAACATATAAAAATTTATACCTCTTGAGAAACATTTGAAGATCCGGAGCTCTCTGTTTCGAGAGGGCACAGGGAAGAGGTAGCACTGCCATTGCTACAGGTGCAGGGAGAAGGCTGTGCTACCCTCTATGAGTATCTGCAGGCTGACAGAAAGGAGATAGGGTCATGTGTTCGGGCAGCTCCAGTAGGCAGAGCTAGGAGTGTGAGGTAAAACTGCCGGGAGGCAGAACTCAGCAAGACAGAAAGAACTTTTTAATAGATGGCAGCAGCAGCTGATGTGGCTACTAGAGCTACTTTTTCTTTACCTTCTTCTTTCTCCTCTTCTTTATTTTCTTCTTGATCTTCAATCATTATCATCACAGCAGCAACTATTGTTAATAAGTACCTCCCATGGAACTGGAAACATGCAGAGTACTTTATGCTTTATATATAGCACCTTATCTAGCCCTCACAATGGCCCAGTGAAGAAAGTATATTGCCATTCTACACTAAGATATCAACGTGCAGAGAGAATAAGGTTTCATATTCAGGTTTGTCTGACTCCAAAGCTCATGATAACCAGAACGTCCCCAGCTACATGTTGATAGGCTTTTAGGAGGGGAGGGGCAAGTGAACCCTCTGTTGTCCCTAGAAGCATCCAAATAGGGGTATATTTGCAGATGATGATGAGAGTTAACATTTACTGAGCTTTCATTTTGTATTTGTACTAGGAATTCTTTGAAGCAATTTACATTTATACAATAATTTAATTTTCATAGCAATCCCCTGAGGTAGGCTATCTGAAATAGGTATAATAATTATCCCTATTTTACAGTTGAGAAAATTGAGTCATAGAGCAGATTAAATAACTTGCTTAAGGTCTCAAAGTGATTAAGAGTAGAATCAGAACATGTATCAAGGCAGTCTAATGTTAGAATCCATTTAACTACTAGATTATATTGCCAGAGGCATTGCTTAGAGTAGGATCCACATAGAAAAAGAAGTTGGATGAGGCAAGCCTGAGTTTGTTTCTAACCAAGTTTCCAGGATATAAGATCTTCACTTTAAGAATGGCAAAAGGCCAAGGGTCATTAAAAAAAATCCTGAAATGTTTATAAAATACGAATACAAAAACCCAATCTGAGCTTGTGTTTTGCCATTTACTTGGGACTTTACTGAATTATTGACTCTCTAAATCAACAGAAAAACCCACCCTTTGGGACTCCTTAGGGGAGGAGGGGTATTCTCCGATAAGAGCTATAGTTTGACTTTGTCCATAGTTAGAAGAGGAAAGTCAACCATCTTGACATTTTCTTCACTGTACTTAGAAAACCTGAATGGGTATATTTTCTCATTAAAATAGTATTTTAGCAAATTGATATTGTGAAACCTGTTTATGTTAGCAAAAATAGGTCCCACTCTCTGCCAAATAAAACTATTCTTTTCTAGATCAAATTTCTTCACAGTTTGAAATTTCATATACATTTTATTTCTATTGCATCCCTGGGATTCAGTTTCTTTCCTTTTCCTTTCCCTCCCTCAGTCCCTCCCTCCCTCCCTTCCTTCCTTTCTCTTTCTTCCCCAACCCTTCTTTCATACTAAAAATTGAACCCAGAGCCTTGTTCATGCTAGCCGTATCCCCAGTCCTTCAGATCCTTTTCTAAAAACCATAATATTGCTATTAAGGAAAATGTGAATTGATGCTACTAATTCTCATCTCAGGCCACACTGTGAATCCCAGAATGTTAGAGTGAGAAAGCTCCTTAAATGGCAAATAATCCAAACCTTGCTTTTCACAAGTGGACACAGATATATTTGCATAGTAGTTTATAGCTTGCAATCTATTTATATAAACATTAACTCAATCATGGCTTAGGTATTATTAGGTTTTATGACTAACCCTTTTTTTGTTTTTAATTTTGCTGAGGTAATACTTTTATTTTGAAATTGCATAAAGTCAAGTCTGG